CAACCCTAAGACAGAGGAATCATGACTCTGGACTTCGAGTTATACCACAAAGCTACAGTGATAAAAACATGATAGGGCTGGGGATTTAGCTCAGCAGCATAAGCACCTGCCTGGCAAGCACAAGGTCGTGAGTTGGATCCCGGGTACCAAAAACAAACAAACAAACAAAAAATGACATTGGCAACAAACAGGCATCAGTGGAGCAGAATAGAGGAAGCAGAAACAACTCCAGGCACACTCAGTTACCTTTCACAAGGACCCCAAAAGGCTATGTGGAGGAAAGACAGCAACTTTCACATATGGTGCTAGGAAAACTGGCTTTCCACGTGCAGAAGACGGAGCCTAGACCCACAGCCCTCACCGTGTACTAAACTGAAATCAAAACTGATCTAAGATGTAACTATTGAGACAGAAACCCAATCTCTTCTGGAAGATAAAATAGGGAAGGCTCTTAAAGACATGGGTGTAGGCAAGGACTTTCTGAACAGAACAGCCATTGCATACGAGATAACAGCAAGGATGAACAAGTGGAATCAAGTTAAAAAGCTTCTGTGTAGCAAAAGAAACAGCCAACAGGATTGAAAATTCAGCCTGCAGAATGGGAAAAGTCTTGCCAGCTATTCCTTGCACAGAGGACTAACATCAAGAAAATATAACAAGAACTCAAAAAAATCAGATGATCCAAAATGAAATCAAAAAGATACACAGACACTTCTCAGAAGAAGACATACAAATGGCCAACAAATAATGAAAAATGTTCATTACTGCAAATTAAAACAACACTGAGACTCCAGAAAAAACAGCTATCGCCAAGATGTCAGATGACAGCAAGCACTGAGGGGGCTGTAGTGCTGGGGGAGGGGGGAGCTTCATTGTTGGTAGGGATGTAAACCAGCACAACCACCATGGAAATCAGTGCGGAGATTCCTCAAAAACTACAACTAGAAATTCCATTTGACCCAGGTATTTCCCTTCCAAGTATCTTCCCCAAGGAATTTAAAGACAGCACCACATATAGTTGTGTGCCTGCCCATTCTTATAGTAACACAGCCCATGATGGTTAAATCCTAAAAATGGCCTCATGTTCACTGAGAGTTGAATGCTACAGAAAATGTGATGTTTACACACAATGGAGTCGGACATAAAGAAGGATGAACTTGCCTTGTTCACAAGACTGTGGCTGCACTTTGAGACATAGTGTTAAGTGAAAAGAATCAGACACACAAGCTTAAATATCACATGGTTTTCTCACTTGAGAAACCTAAATATAAATGAAGAGCAACATAAAAGGTAATAGGAAGGAAACCAAAGCTGAGGAGGAAGTAGAGGAAGGAGTGGAAAGCGTAGCCGGGAGGAGAAAGCAGGGAAAGGGAAGTGAAGAGCCAAGATGTGCCACCTGCAGGCACTCACCCCGCAGGGGATGCGACCAGCAAACACAGACCAAGGAAAAAGGCAGCCACAAAATAGATGGAACGGCAAAACAAAAGCTGTGATTATGAAAGAAACAAAAATTCTATGTTCTGTCTCCATGTTTCTGTGCCTTGATTGAATTCCGTCACCAAGAACCCAGGGGCTGAGACCAGGCTGGGCTCCCATCGCAGGATGCCCACACATGCCCAGGCCCGCAGCCCGGGAGCTCAGGCCCTCATCCCAGCAGAGGCGGCCAGCAGGGCGTCCTGGCCTGTGACTCCTGGGTTCCACCTCTGAGGGTGCAGGACCACTGACATGGCCGGCACAGAATCCATACTGTTACCCTGCACCCCGGGGCTGAGGCAGACACAGCAAGCCCAAGCTCAGCCTGGCAACCTGGCAAGTCAGCAGGCACAGGTCTCACGAGAAAATGAAAGCACAGGGGACTCACGCGAAGGCCCTGGGTTGAAGCCCTAGCTCCCCACCCCATAAAGGAAAAGAAGATGGCCATGAACATCATGGTGTACTTTTTCCACGCTTTACTGTACAGTGCTTTTTAATTGTCTGATTCGTAGATTTTTCTAAAGATTCAGGAAACACAACATTCTGTCATAAGCATTCTCATTATTGCATTCTGAAACATTTTTTTGTTTGTTTTTTTAAGACAGGATTTTGCTACGTAGTACAGGCTCGCCTCGAACTCACTATGTAACCCAGGCTGGCCTCAGATTCACAGTGATCCTCCTGCCTCAGCCTCACAAGTGCTGAGATCTGTGGCACCACCCCTAACTTTGTTATTCTGGGTGGCACAGATAAACCAGGCCAGCTAAAGTGTGCTTTCTCCTTGACATTGGCCTGGTTTCCAGCACTTCGATAGTTCACTGGGCTGGGAGCCAGCTACAGCTTGTAAGTGTCCTTTGCAGCCCACGTGCTGAAGGCGTGGACCCAGGAGTGTCCTAATCACAGAGGCCACCAGCTAAGGGAGGCTACGCTGCTTTGTAATTCAGTGCACACAAAGCACACAGTAGGCTACTACAAGAAACTTAGACTTCCATGTCCAGGAATAGCTTTTGTTTTGTACTGTGGATTGAACCCAGGGCCTTCGTGCTGAACTACATTCCCAGTGCCTTTTTGTTTTTTGGGGATAAGGGCTAAGTTGCCCCGGCTAGCACTTTTGATCCTCCTGCCTCAGCCTCCCCCAGTGCTGGGGATAAAGGCCTGCACCATCATGCCCTGCTCGAAGCGTCTCCTCCATCTGTCTCTTCTCCCAAAGCAGCTCTGACACCAGTTCTTAAACTGTGCAGCAGCACCGAACTCACTTTATTACAGATTTGCCTTTTCTTAATTCTTTCTCATCACTACCAGAACAGCCTACAAACAGAATTGCTATAAGAATGTTCGGGTTCTCTGTTTCATCCCAGCTGGCTTCCAGCGGTCAGGGATCTTGGGGCGTGAGTTCGCTTCTTCAGAAGTGGCAAAGGCATGAGTGTGTATCGGATCACATTCACCAGGCCTGGAGATGGACAGTGCCCAGAAAGATGCACTTGGAATGTTATCGTCTCTCTCTCTCCTTCCCCTCTCTCTGTCTGTCTCTGTCTCTGTCTCTGTCTCTGTCTCTGTCTCTGTCTCTCTCTCTCTGTCTCTCTCTCTCTCTCTCTCTCTCTCTCTCTCTCTCTCTCTCTCTCTCTGTCTCTCTCTCTCTGTCTCTCTCTGTCTCTCTCTCTCTTTGTACCAGGGATGGAACTCACAGCCTTGCACTTGCTAGGCAAGCCCTTGCACCGCTGAGCTAAGTCCCCAGAAAGAAGCACTTCAAAATGTGTCCCTACCACAGTGGTGTTTAGAGGCTACAGGACTTTTAAGAGCTGATGTCTGCCAGGAAGTGGTCAGGTCCAGGGTGGCACCTTTGGGCAGGGAATTAGGTCTGTCCAGTGGAAATTGGGGAGGTTTCAAAAGATCATATTAGATATTGAGAGCAGGCTGCTCGGAAGGTGACCGACTTCCTTCTTTGCTTGTCCACAGGCACCCACTTCCCTCCTAGCTTTTCCACATGAGTGGACATGGCCTGTGGCCCTCACCAGAGCCCAGCAGTAGACAGGCTGGTGCTGTTGGACTTCCGGGGCTGCAAGCTGGGTGAACTTCAGTCTAGCTATTTCGCTGTAGCTGTGTTATTTCCTTTTCCCTCCTAACGGAGGCAGATCTCCTGTGACATCCCCGACACTCTCCTAATATTGAGGGTTTATGTTTTAGGGGGCCGGGGTGAGCACTGCTGGAGACGAGATGGAGGATGGCCCTTTCTGGGCCGCACTCTAACCTGAAGTGCATTGCCAGCCTGTTTTCCGGTTTTATCTTTGTCCATTTTGCTGATGAATGTTTCTTTCCCAAAAGAACCAGATTTGTTTCATTAATTTTTCTCTGTTGTTCTGGTTTTCAAGCACCGTGATTTCTACTATTCCTGGATTCCTGAATTTTCAGGGATGAATATCTGATTATTTTTTCATTTGCTTTTTCTGCATCTAGGGATCTGGTCATAAAGGTTTTTTGTTTTTTTTGTTTTGTTTTGTTTTGTTTTGTTTTGGTCTTTTAATACAACAAATTACTATGAAGATATAATAGGGCAAACAAACTACTTCCCACAATGACTTACCCACTCCACAAGGACCCCCACTGGGCCGTCCAGGGGCCCACAGGGTCTCCAGTGTCCTGCGAGCACCCCTGCAGGCAGTTTCCGGGGCCCGCGAGTCCCCACCTCGGTGGATGCAAGGTCGTTCATCATGGCTTTTCTTTGTGTGGACCGATGATTCGTTACCAGAGGCATTAATCCCACATGCCTTGCCTATTTGTGTCTTCGGGAAGAGGTCTGAGTTCTGCTCATTTATTCTGAACACACTGAGCGCTCATTCTGCAATCGCGTTTACGAGCACACCGCGGCGCTCTCACACTCGCACGCAGCCTGGAAGCGGCAAGCCAAATGTGAGCTCGTCCTTCTCCTGCTCTCATTTCCGGAGCAGGGTGGGACCCGGACCCTCCACTTTGTCGCCACCCCCGCCCCCGGGGTCCGGCTCCAGTTCTCGCCTGGGCGCAGCCCCGTCCCCGTGCCTGCGTGCTCCTCCGCGTGACGGCCTTGGGGAGCTCGGGGACCCCCTTTCCTCGCCGGGACGCGTGCCCCGTGTCCCCCGCTGCACCCTGCCAGCCGAGCTCGGCGCGGGGTGCTGGGTGTCCGGGGAGGCGGCGGGGGCCCACAAAGCCAGAGGCGGAGGCAGGCGGGTCCGAAGTGTGAGCGCGGTCTGAGCGCTCTAGGGGGACCCGGTCTCGGAAAGAAAAAGGCTCGGGTTCGCCCAGGAAGTCCGCGCTCGACCCGAGACTCGAAGGGGAGGAGGAAGAGGCCGGGAGGAGACGCGCGCCACGGCCCAGTCCCCAACGGAAGCCGGTCTGCGCCCCCGCGCGCTCAGCCCGCCCCGCAGGCCTCGCCCGCTCGCCGGCTCCGGGGCTCCGCCGCTTGCTGCCCGGGACGCCCCGAGGGTTCCAGGGCCGCGGGCCCGGCGCGCTTCCCCCGGCTGGCGCCAGAGGGCGCTGTGCGCACGTCTTTGCCTGCTGAGTGCGCGCAGGACGGCCACGCCCACCGTCACGTGTGCAGCGCGCGCCTCCAGGCTAACCGAGGAGCCTGCGAGCCTGCACACCTGCAGACAGACACGCCCCGCGAGCACAGCCCGGAAAAGCCCGCGCAGACGAGTGGGCCTCCTACAGGCAGAGGGTTACACGAAGCCCGAACCCACGCACAACTGCTGACACGGTCACACACGTCTACACGTGCTGCAGTCATCGCACCGGTAAACGTGCGCTGGGCCGGAACCATGACTTCCGTGTGATGCCAAACAGGGCGCTTGGTGCGTGGCCCAGCAGGAACGGTTCGAGGTCAACTCCGACTGTGTCCTCCAGTCAGAAGCGCTGTGCCAGCAGCGATAAGCTGCTGCCATCTGTCCACTTTGCTTTTGTATGGAGATTGAACCCAGTGCTTTCATACCGAGAGCTGCATCACCTGCCCTTTTTTATTAAGGGCCTCACGAAATCGCCCAGGCTAGTCTTCAACTTTGTACCCTCCTGCCTCAGCCTCCTTAAACGCTGGGATTACAAGCCTGTGCCACCATACCCGGCTTGATACCTGCTTTTGCAGTGTCATCAGTGTGGAGCGCCAACTCAGCTGCTGTCCGATGAAAGTTACTCTTTTAAAATTTCCACCTTCAGGTTCACCTGTTATTCAAGGGATAATGCTTTAGGGGTGGGAAACGCCTCCCTGCGTATATTATTCTGGCGGGGGCAGGAGCAGAAGCACCAAGGTCTCTGCGGGCCATGGGAGGAGCACGTCCCGGAGGATGCCGCGGTGGCCTTGCCCACTGATAAGGAGGCCACCGAGAGGAAGCACCTCAGATTCAGCGCTGCCTCTCCCACCTCTGGGTGCCCCTGACTTCCGCCCAGAACACATGCACTTCAGCCTTCCAGGATCTGGGGGAGCGGGGAACGGCATTTGAGCAGGCTGCTCCCTTAGTGCCTACCCCAGGAAGGACACCCGGCCTGCATATGGTGACACTGGGGTTCAAAAGCAGAGCGTGGACTTTGACTCCCGTCTTACTCAGTAATCAGTGTGACCACAAGCACACTGATTACATTAATGCTGAGTCAGCTTTCTACAAGTGGAAATGGAGGTGTCCTCTCTGGGTTCTCCAGCAGCAGAGCCCTGGCAGATGAGCCTGCGTGCACTGTCGCTGTGCTGGGAAGCAGAGGCGAAGGATGCAGAAAGGTGGTGAGCCTGGGCAGGGCTGTCTTGGTGCCAGTGCTGGGGCTGCAGCCCCGGAAGTGCCATATCCCCTGTGCCAGTGAGGTCGCGTGGAAGGACCATGTCTCCCACAGGTAAGGGCCCAGCAGCAGGGTGTCAGTCCTACCCCTATACCCCAGTTTGTGGTGACCAAACAGGGATGGTGACCTTGGTGAGAACAGGCTTCTAATGGGGCTTCATGGATTTGGGCCGTAATTTAGGAAGCTTTGGAGAACGCAGAGGTTTCAAAAAGAAAAGTGCTGTGGTCCACGGGGGCTTTCCCTGGATGTGTGATTTCCTTACACAATGGCAGACATTTGTCACGTGCCTTCTGCATGCCTTAGGGAGGAGTCCGGGAGGGAGGACTCAGAAGAGACAGTGTCAGGTGGGTCCCACGGAAATGGGAAGGTCAGATGGCTAACACTGGCCCCTGGATGGCCTGTGGAGTTTCATTCAGAGGAGACAGTTTTCATTTCTTTCCAGGGGAAAAACTTACCACTTTCTTAAAAAAAAAAAAAAGATTTTGGGGGTTATACAAGGTGTGATCAAAATGCACAGTATATGGCCACTAATCCCCCTCAAAATCCTCCTCATTTCTAACACACTACCCCGTCATTCCCACCACGTTCGGAAGCAGTTCTGGAAGTCCCCTTTCATGAGTGTCTTTGCAAAGTGTGACAAAAACACAGTGAGTGCTGCTACCCGGGGTTTGTGTCCAGATCCCCCGTCTCCCAAAGGAGTGCGCAGCAAAGGCCCAAATGAAAGAGACAAGGAATATGATCTTTAGGACTCCAGCAGGACCAAAACCCTCTGCAGAGTCTTAACTCTGGTGGCTGAGACAGACAGCGTCTCAAGGGGGCCTGTATTTATTTAGTGTTCAAACAAGGAAGGGGTTTGAGTGGAAAACCCAGGAAACCTGAGCAGGACCTTGGGTAGGGCTCAAGGACCCCTCCAAGCAACAGACGATGCTAATTAAGGAAAATTACCCTAGGAGAAAGTCCCCAAGTGCCCCCCATGGCCTGTCCTGCCCCCTGAGGCATCTCCTCATCCTCAGTTCTGCCATGCCTGGGCCACTCCACAACTCACAGTTCTGCCCGTGGATTCAGCTTCAATGGCTCCAGCAAAGGAGGAAAGACAGCTCACCTCGATGGTCCGGCTCCCTTGTTCACCTCACTCACTGGATCCAACCTCATGCTGTTTCCTGATCAAAACCACCATGAGAGGTAAAGGTTTGGAGTGATCCAGAACATCAGGGCAACCTCTGCAGCACAGTTAGAACCTCAGGAAAAAAGACTTCAAGAGCTGCTTCACATAGTGACAGAGACAGTGAGATAAACGTGTTCAAAGCAAGGAGGATTCTTTGAATTTGTGTCATTTACTGTGATAAGTTGTTTTTAAAATGTAAACACACACCATAGACCTCAGTCACACCTTGTACTATACAATGGGAGCAGATAACAATCTTTAATTCGTGTAGCAATTTACAGTATCAAGCTCTGTGTTCCAATATCTGCACATTTAATCTCCACGGCTTTTGAAACCATTCTGATTTTCATGATCAAACAAATTCTACAGCCAGGCATATCATAATCAACATTCCAGAAATTCAGCACAAGGATAGAACCATAAAAGCTGTTAGGGAGAAGAAGCAAATCATTTATAAAGGAAAGCCCCTCAGAATCACAGCTAAATTCTCAGCATAAACCCTCAAGTCAAGAGCTTGAAGTGAAGTAATCCTACCTATAAAGGAAAATAACTTTCAACCCACATTGATGTACCCCACAAAACTACCTTTGAAAACTATTGGAGAAATAAGACTTCTATGCCCAAGAACACCTGAGAAAATTTATGATACCCAAACCAGCACTACAAAATTTTCTGAAAGACATTCTAGAAAGAGATAGTAAAGACTACAACTCGATGAACCCCAGCAGAAGGAATCCACCAGGAAAGGCAAACAATTAGAGGAAAGGAAAAAAAAAACAGGAGCCCCAAAACAGGAAAATAACATGACAAGGATAAGTCAATACATCAGTTACAACCATCAATGTATATGGTCTCAATTCACCAATCAAAAGACACAGGTTGGCAGTATGTATCAAGAAGCAAGATCCAACAATATGTTGCATACAAGAAACTCATTTAATTCAAAAATATTCATAGACTGAAAATCAAAAGATGAAAAACAATACTCCATATGATGGGAACCCAGAAAAAGGCAAGAGTAGCTATTCTATTTGCAGACAAAGTGAATTTCAAGACAAGACTGATTAAGAGAGATAACAATCATAAATATATATGCAGCAAGTACAGGTGTACCCAACTATATAAAACAAATACTAATGGACATAAAAATCAAATAAGCCCTAATACAGTTGTATTGGGGGATCTCAATTCCCCACTGTCACAAAAAACAGATCAACTAGACAGCAAATCAGTAATGAAATGTTAGAACTGAACCAAACTTTTGAACAAATGGACTTAGTAGATGTCTATAAAGTGTTCCACCCCACAACAGAGTATACATTCTTCTTAGCTTCAACATAGGAAGTTCTCCAAAATAGACCATGTATTGACTCAAAGAACATGCTTAAGTAAATGCAAAGGAATCCAAATTATTCCATGCATAGTATCAGACCACAGGCAATGAAATTGAAAATCCATGCCAAAGGAAACCACAAGAACTTCATAAACATTTGGAAATTATATAGCACTCTACTGAACAACTAATAGGACACAGATGAAATTAATAAATTAGACAGTTTTTACAGTTGAATGATAATAGGCAATATCAGAATTATGGGGCACAATGAAAACAATCTTAAGAGGAAAATTTATAGCACTATATACCCATATCAGGAAGGCAGGGTAAGTGCACATAAAAACCTTAATTGTGAACTTCAGACCTCTAGAAAAAGAAAAGCAAGATAAGCCAAAAGTTTGTACAAGGGAGGAAATTGTAAAGATCAGAGCAGAAATTAATGTGTTGGAGGCTAAAAATGAATACAAAGAATCAATGAATCGAAGAACTGGTTCTTTGAAAGATTATATGAAATTGACAAATCCTTAGCCAAACTTATCCAAAAAAATGACTCAAATCCATACAATTAGGAATGAAAAGGGTGAAATCACAACAGATGCTGCGTAAATTCAAAAGATCATCTGTACCTACTTGGAAAACATGTATTCTAATAAGATGGAAAATACAGAAGAAATGGACAGATTCCTAGATACACACAAATTACCAAACCTGAATCAAGAAGATTTAAAAATCCTAAATAACCCAATTTCAACAAATGAAATGAAAGCTGTAATTAAAAACCTATCAATAAAACAAGTCCAGGCCCTGACAGATTCACTGCTGAATTCTACAACAATTTAGAGAAGACCTAACACCACTATTTCTCAAACTCTTTAATGAAATTGAAAGGGAAGCAATACCCCCAAATTCAGTCTTGGAAGCAAGCTTTACTCCAATACCAAACTGGAGAAGGACCCAACTAAGAAAGAGCCAATTTCCCTAAGGAAAAATGATGCAAAAATCCTTAATAAAATACTGGCAAACAGAATGCAACAAATTATCAGGAAGAATATATACCATGATCAGGGGAGAATCTTCCCAGGGAAGGAGGGATGGTTCAACATATGTAAAACAATAAATGTAACACACCATATTAACAGAGCCAAAGACAAAAATCATATATCTCAATAAATGCAGAAGAAGCTTCTGACAGAGCCTAGCACTCATTCATGATAAAAACCCTACAAAAAATTGGAATAGATGCTCTTTATCTCAATCTGATTAAAGTCACCCATGATAAACCAACAGCTGACATCATACTAAATGGACAAAAGCTAAAAACTATCTCTCTAAAATCAGGAACAAGACAAGGAGAGTCACTGTTATTCTACCTAGCCCTGGAACTGGAGCAATTAGACAAGAGAAAGAAATAAAAGGAGTATAGATAGGAAGGATCAAGTTAAACCATCATTAATTGCAGCTTGCAGATGACATGATACTGAGTATAGAAGACCCCAAAAATCCACAAAAGCTGGGAGATTTAATAAGCAAATTCAGTAATGTAGCTGGATACAAAGTCAACACTCAAAAATGAGTAGCCTTACTGTACATGAATAACAAACTCACTAAGAAAAATCAGGGAAGCAACACCTTTCACAACAGCACCCAGAAAGATGAAATATCAAGGAATCAATCTAATGAAGATGTAAAAGACCTCTACATTGAATGCTTCAGTACTCTGAAAGAGAAGGCTGAAAGGAATATTAGAAAATGGGGAGATATCCCATGCTCTTGGGAAGGAAGAATTAATTTAGTGCAAATGGCCAGACTTCCAAACTGTTATACAGATTCAATGCAATCCCCACCAAAATTCCAATAACATTTCACAGAGTTACAGAAAATAACCCTAAAATTAATCTGGAACCAGAAGAGACCTAGAAGAGCAAAGGCAATTCTGGGCAACAAAGACAGGACAGGGAGCATCACGATACCTGACTTGAAATTATACTCTAAAGCTACTGTGATAAAAACAGTGTGGTCCTGGAAAAAAAACCAAAAGATCAAAGGAACAGATTACAAGATGTAGAAACAACTCCAGACACACTAAGCCACCTTACCTTTGAAAAAGGTGCCAAACATTCGCTAGAAGAAAGACAGCATCTTTAAAAATAGCCCTGGAAAAAACTGGTTCCGCACATGCCAAAGATTAAAGTTGGGCCCATATCTTTCACCAGGCACTAAACTAAATTTAAAATGGATCAAAGATATTAAAACAGAAACATCTTCTGGAAGACAGAGTAGGTAAAACTCTTGATGACATTGGTTTAGGCAAAGACTTCATGAGCAAAACCCCAATTGCAAAGAACCTATCACAATGAATCAATAACTGGGATCTCATCTTGCTAAAAAGCTTTTCACAGCAAGAAAAACACCAATAGAGTGAAGAGACAACCTACAATATGGGAGAAGATGTTTGCCAGCTCTTCATCAGACAAAGAGTTACTATAGAAAATGTAAATAACTCAAAACAAAAGTCCCTCCAGATTTAAAAGGGCCAATCCCAAAATGGGCATCTAAAATGAATACACACTTCTCAGGTGAAGAAATACAAATGGAACATAAATATGTGAAAAAAAATGTTCAACATCACTGGTCATTCAAGAGATGCAAATTAAAACACTGAATTCCACCTCACCCCAGAAAGAATGGCTACTATCAAGAAATCAACCAGCCACAAATGCTAGATGAGGAGTGGGGAACAAGGAACCCTTCCCTGTTGGTGGGAGTGCAGACTGGTGCAACCACTGTGAAATCAATGTGGAGATTCCTCAAAAAATTAAGATAGGAGGTCCCAGTCACCTCAGCTATTCCTCTTCTGGGTATCATCCCAGAAGAATGAAAAACATCATCCATATCAATATATGTGCACCCGTGTTCATAGCAGCACAATTTGTGATAGCTAAATCTTGGAAACAATGCAAATGCCCATCGACTGAGGAAAGGATAAAAACTGTGATCTTTTTATACAAAGGAGTCCTACTCAGGTGTAAGGAAAGATAAACTGGAGACTTAAGGGAAGTAAATCAGACATGCATGTGAAAACATCGCATTGCCTCAGTCATGTGAGAAGTTAAAACAAATTATGTACACGCCCCCACACACATACACATAGTCAAGATGGTGACACTACCGATGTCTCTGAACTCGCTGAAGAGAAAGGTCCACTCTTCAGACAGCCGAACTGTTGGGCTCTGAAATAAAATGGGTTTGGAAAGAGAACCTCAGCAAGGAACAGTAATGTCCCCGTTATCATTGCTGCCCCTTTTGACAGAGTCACAAATTAACTGTAACACTGTCATTGTCACAGGCTGTGGCCCATCGTGAAGCTGTTGGAGCTGAACCCTGACCACCAGACGACATCACATGGCCGTATTCACATCTGGGAGGTATTGGGGGGCTTGCAGGGTCCTAAGGACGCCTTTGCCCAGGGAGAGCTGGGGTGGACTCGGGCCTCACCCTGCCGCTTTCGAATCTCATGATGATGAGTATTTAATAGCTAAGAGCAGACTGTGAAGACAGACTTCCTGGATTCGAATCCTACTCAGCTTGACACAATCTATTTCACAATGCTTCAATTTTATATTTAAAATAAAGTTCATTGTACCTCCCTCGCAGAGCACATAAGAATGAAATGAAGCAGCCTCCCCAGGAGAGAACCAGCTACCGTCTCCTGAGATCCACACCATGTTAGAACTTAGGGCACTGAGAATCCAAGCAACCCCTCGCCTCCTTGGGAAGCAGTGAGCCTCCCAGTGTGCAGGCTGAGAATCAAACATCCCATCCTCTCCACCCCTGTTAGCAACTGGGAGCCAGAGGTCTGAGCATCTCTTGGGAGGTTGATCATATGCAATATAGCAAATGTGGGGGATTTCCTTCTACCATATCTTTGAAGGCAAATACTGTTATCACTGTTTTGCTTTGTTCTGATTAATTGCATTGCTGTAGTCAATATTCTGTATTGATAAGTTCTATAATGTTCTGTTTTTTGGTTTGATTTTGCTATACCTGATTGAAAGAACAACTCCTGTGAAGATAACGAGATATACTATGGTACCTATTACTGTTATCCCGGTAACCTGCTGTGAAGTTCTGTACCAATTTCATTGCATTGTCTCCATTGGCTCTGTTCCTTCTTGTTCTGTTGTATTTTACTACCTTCAAGATAATAAAAGTTTTTTTAAAAGAACGAAATGAATTCATAAATCTAAAAGCACCTAGTTACACAGTAAACACAACTAAGTGTTGGCTAATAATGCCTTCAAATCTTCCCTTTGCCTGGGGGCCCCGCTGCTCTCAGCCACAGTTTGTTCCCTTACCTCCTACCTTCACAAAGCAATGCAGGTGCATGTGCACATGTGCACACACACACACACACACACACACACACACACACACACACGGCCAAGCCTGCAAATGGTGCACAGTGCTGGTATCCAGGCCCCTGAGGCATCTGGAAACCCTGATAGTTCCCAATTGGAATGCTGAGACCTCATTGTAAAACTCTATGTGGACACTGATATCTCTCATCTAATTATAGAAATTCAACTACAAAACCATGATGAAGTTGGAGCAATGCCAGAAATGTCACCTCTGCCCTGTATCCTGGCTTTCTGGATACAAAGCCATAGGAGCGACAGTGTGGATGACCCAGAGTTCCAACAACATATGGATTCCAGCAAGGTATGTATTCCATCAGCTGACATCCATCTCAGTGACAGACGACTGCCACGCACATGTGAGTTCGTGGTGAGCAGAGGAAAGGAGGAAGACAGATGACAGGCAGAGACAGATAAATATAGACAGATGATAGAGTACATAGATAGATGATAGGATAGGGAGATGACAGATGATTGATTGATTGATTGATTGAAACAAATGACCGGGAGCTGGATGGATGACAGCAGACCCACAGGTAGGTTGACTGAGGGGCTGAGGAGAACTACATATCATCCACCTAACATACTTTGTCCTCGTAGTGAAATCCCGAGGCATTCGAAGAAGTCTCACAGGCGAGGAGAAGGTGACCCACAGGCTCGAGGGAACGGCGCCTGTATCCGGGCAAAGTTGAGATCCCTCCAAGGCTTTGGGCCGTGCAGTCCTCTGCCCCAGTGCACTGCTGTGGTGGCTCCCCGGGCATCACTGTGCTGGGTGGGGGCGGCTCAGGTAACCATGTCAAGACCCCATCTGGACTGAGACCTGACCCTAACCATTTCTTCACATGAGTCTGCTCTGGCGAATTACTAGAATTCTGCCCTGAAGTGTGCTGGGAAGACCTGCATTCTAGCACGCCTTTCAGATCTCCTGTGACGCCTGCCTGTCACCCTCACACATGACCTGCTCCTTCTCTTGGCTCCCTGCGTCCTGCTCTGCACCCACAGATCTTTACCCATGCAACGGCACCGTCAGGGCTGGGCTGTGTTTCTCCCATGCCAGCTCACACCCAGCACTGGGAACAGGAGGTTGCTAGAGGTGAATGCGCGCTAAGCTCTGGTCACTAACCCAGGGCACCCAGGGCCACACAGAGGGAGGGTGATGCCACAGTAAAGGAGAATCAGCCATGGGCAGGCTGCAGTGGGCTGAGAGGTCTGGGCAGATTCCAGCGCTGCCTCTTGGCCCCTGGTCTTGGGCGCAGTGAGAAATACCTTTCTGTTTCTCTAACCTTCCAGCGGTGGCCCTGTACTCCGGTGACCTGCGAGGCTTCATCTTATGTGACCACTGGACTGGCCCACAGCCCGACGAGATAGTGCATCAGAAGTCACCAAGCGTTTGCGGGAAGGAGGACCCAGGTGGGCACAGTGCAGCACTCAGGGGAAGCCTGAGCCGTGGGGGATCCACCACACGCTGCTGCCTGCACACCAGATGGCTCCCTTCTGCCATTGGCTGAGCAGACTGCAGCTCCGAGGCCCTCACTTGGCCTCAGGGCTTCCAGGAGGACCTGGACCTGGACAGGACTGCACAGCACTAGGCCGGGCTCTGTACCAAGCCAAACGCAGCTGAGTCCTGGAGACGCAGCAGCAAGCCCGGGCCACTGTCTCAGCCTGGGCTCCAGTGGCCGATGCCTGGGCTGAGAGCGCCAGGCTCCAGGGCTGAGCGCTTTCCATTGCTGGCTGAGGGGAAGCCTTGGCTGGGGCCTGCAGAGAAGCAAAGGACCTGGCCAGGCCGAGCTTCCCTCCAGGGCCACGCCTCCCTCTGTGGCTACACCCACATGACATAGCTTCCTCCCACTAAGCCCCACCACCTCCCAATAGCACCACAGCCTGGGAACCAAGCCTTGGACACCTGGGCCTTTTAAGAGCCAAGCCTGGAAGGGACCTTCTTTAGTCACGATTTCTTCATAGAATTTTCATCCTCTGCTGAAGTGGAACATTGGTGGACTTTCTCTCCCTCTCCCTTGTGAAACTGTCTATGCAGAGGACCCTAATACACAGCCCTATAAACTGTGAGAATAGAGAAGGCACTATCCATGGCTTCGCTTGGAAGCATGATTTTAAAATTTCTAAGAAGTTGAAAGCTATGATAATAACCATGAAATAGACATTCATAGAGGGACTGTGTCTAAATGTTCTAAGGTAAATCCAGAAGCAGGCTGTGTGTTAAATACAACTCAAGTGATTTGTGACCCACTGACCACCCGAGAAGTGTGACCAGCAAAGACTGCTGCTACCAAAATGAGCAGAATAACCATGCACTGCATTTTCCCTCAATAAGACCTAACTGGAAAATAAGCCCTAGCATGATTTTGTGGGATGCTTGTAAGATAAACCATAACCCAGAAATCATTATGCCCTGGTTAATATTGTCAGGCAGACAGAGGCACTTAGTACATCCGTTACAACACACACCAGATGTGCTGAATTATGAAATAATGTTACTATAGTTAAATATATGTAAATGTTGGCATTAATACTAAAATAATAATATAAATTGTAATTAAGTATTTGTAATTAACAAAGTGGGCACCCTGGGACCTGGGGGAAATGCCTTGCAAACAGATGAACTTGAAGCTTGCTGCTGCCTGACCTATCAGATGAGGACAACACAACGCAGGAATGACGTGCACACTGCGTAACAAGTGGGTGTGGCTTTGTCTAATACACAGCTTCATAATTACACCATTGTGTGACAGTGCAGCAGGAGCAGGCTACCCCCAAAAGATGCGCTCATCAAAGGACCGCTGAGACCCAGGCTGACGGTTCTACAGGAAGTAGGGTTGCAAGAAATTCAGGCCAGAATTTGGGATTTGAAAAAATTATGCTGATGTTCCAGAAGATGACATGACTGAACCTTAATAAAAGGGATTTTTTTCACATGAATAAATGTAATTTTTTGGCAATGGGGAATTTAACCCAGGGCCTCACATATGCTAGACAAATGTGCTACTGCCAAAATGCAACCTTAGTTCTGTATAAATTCTTCCTTGTTTGAGACAAGATCTCAATAAGTTATTCAGTCTGCCTCAAATTTGAGATCCTCCTGCCTCAGCCTCTCAAGTAGCTGGGATTACAGGCACGTGCTACCATTCCCAGTTGCAGATGGCTTTTAGACGTGAAAAAACCTCATAATATACAAACCAAATGTTCTAGGCTGACACCAGAAGCCAACAGATACTTTCTGACATATACAACTCCCTTTGAGTATGAGTGGGACCTGTGGACTACATGGGATAACTACTGCCTTAACTATGTCACATGATAGGTAAAATTCTAGGCTTGTCACACCCTTGATCTCATCATGTTATTCAGGACTTTGTTTTATCAGAGCTGACTGAGATTCTTGTGCTAACTCTGAAAGAAATAAGCTTATGTTGTTGGACTGCAGCCAGGGAAAGCCAACCTGCTCTAGCTGAGAGAGGTCCCAGAAGGCCAGCAAGAAAAACTGTGCCCCATTCCTCCAACTGCAGGGAACTCAATACTGCCACCAGACTGAGGGATGTGACATGGGCCCATCCTTCCCGGAGAAGGCCTTAAGAGAAACCAGCTGGGCAGAACCCACCATGTGGCCAGATAGACCCCAGGAGAGGACACAGCTGACCCAGGCCTGAACTTGCCATCCCTAAAGACTGAACACTTACATAACAAAATAATAGGAGAATATCAATAGTCAATACATTGAGTATTGCTATCTTTAAAGTAGTCAGCATATGAGATATGGGCACCTGTGTTGTTCAAGCTAATATCCTTGTGACAATCTATCACACAACAACAGAAAGCTCGAAAAATGCTAAGCTTCACTCACAGAGAGGTGTGAACTGGAGCTCTTGGGAAATGCAAATTCCTTTGTCTGATTGGCAAAGAAAATACGGCAAACATGCTGTGTGAGCAGGAGTATGAGACACACACCTGCTCATAACTTACTAGTGACAGATGAGGTAGTATAGTTTCTATGGAGGACCACTTTCAAAATACCTAGCAAGATTGAAAAACATCTACCTCTAATTGAACATACAGACCTGCCTTAGTTACTTTTTTCTCATTGCTGAGACAAAGTATCTGACTCCCAAAGTTAAGGAGGGAAAGCTTTGTGGAAGTTTCATTCTACAATCAGCTGGCTCCATAGCAGGGTGGCGTGGCAGAGGGGCAGCAACTCATGGTGGCAGAAGACAGCAAAAGCAAGAACACAAAAGGTGGGGGGGAGCAAGGCTCTTTTCCTCCCTTACATTTCAAGCAGGCTACCCGCCCTAGGGTAGGTGCAGCACTCATACCAATTCCAGTACTCTCCTTTTGCACAGGCTGGGGATGTCTAACGTGAGGGCCCTGGCCCCCTGCTGAGTCACTTGGTTAAACTTCTAACCTTGATTTAAGCTGAAACAATTAATTAAGCATTACAACATCCTACAGGGTAAACACCTGCCCTGAGCATCCTTTACACCCCAGGATGTAGGACTGCTGAGTTACTTAATTATGCTACTAAACTTCTCAAATTGACACAATGTATCGACCATTACAAAATCCATTTACAAAGGGAAAGGTACAATATTAGTTACAGCAGTGTTGTTTGTAACAACAAAAATGAGACTCACCTATGTATTTATCAGTAAATAGTGCCCAATAAATTTTAGTATATCCATAAAAATACTTTGGAGCACTAAAGGAGGAGATTCTTTAAGCAGTGATATTGATATTCACAATATATTTTTACAGAGGAAAATCCATCTTTGGTATTTGTATATAATAAGCCACCATCTGGGGCAGAGAGAAGGGAAAGGGGAATATATCTGGGTGCATATGCACAAAATATTCCTGGAAGGTTTACAAGAAACTCCTAACATGTTTTATCTCTAAGGAAGGGCTAAGAGGCTGGTGCAGAGTGAAGCATTTTCACTGCATCTTGTTTTGCGTGCTTTAAACTTTAGCTCACGTGGGTCTGCTGTCCATGTAAATATAATAAACACTTCAGCCACAGGTGTTCGGGTCCTCCTGCCGGGGCCCTGGAGAAGTTGCCACACAGCTGGGAAGGCAGATGTCCCCCTGGGAGTGCAGTCTGCAGAGAATAACAGTAACACGAAAACTTCTATCAGTCAAACATGTTTCCTTCTAAACACCAACACTGGTATTTGTAGACACTGTAAACTGATGCAAGAAAATGGGAAAGGAAACGCACAACTTTTCCATGGCACGTCATGATGAGGAAGGAGGCTCCACCAGCTCTGGGAAGCAGAGCAGTGTGTCGGGGGTGCATTTCGCACTGTCAGAAGCCCCGGTGCCCTGAGCATTGCCACAGTGAACAGGGGTCTGCAGCCCGTGTCCAGCCTGCAGCTGGAGGTGAGGTCCAGGGTGCCTGATCCCCTGAGCACCCGAGCAGGGAGGTTTCACAATGCTTCAGTGCACTGACATTCAGAGAAGGACCCTGCGTGTGAAAACAGAAAGTTAGAGAACAAGCACCAGAAATTTTAAAAACAAAACGGAACGTTTTTGCTAAATGCAGAAAAATGAGGCACCCCAGTGCTGTGTTCCAGGCTGGAACCCAAGACTTCTTTCTGGCTGGTCTGATTTTCACCACGATTCTGTGCTCACCTGAATCAAGGATGGACCATGACAGCGGCTGTAAGTTAGAGAGGAGTTTTGATTTGTGTTCCTTTGTTTCACTGTCTTTTCAGACAGCTGGTAGTAAATTATCCTTCATCCAAAAATAATTGAAAATAGAAACAAAATGAATTCCCTGATCTGCAGGAAGACATGTTATAAAATTACTGTTATAAGTGAATGACAAGAGCCTGTAATCATAGCTGCTTGGGAGGCTGAGGCAGAAGAAAGATGAGCTCCAGGTCAGGCCAGGGAACAGCAAAAGATGCAGGTTGTGATGGTCGGTGCTAGGGCACTTGCCTCACATGCGTGGGCCCTGGGCTTGATTCCCAGCACTAAAAAGTGAAATTTGTGATCTGTGTCTCTCATTTACTTAGTCCTGTTCTTAATGTCTGCAAATTGCTCTCTGAACTAGTCCTGTTATCTTCTCTCAGTGATAGCATTTGTGTAGCTGAAAAGTAAATAATAAATAACATGTAAATTTTGAAGCCACCCTGAATATGAAGTAATGCCATGCACTATTTAAAGTATGGGTACATGCATGTAAAATTTCGTGTTAGGAATTACATGCGTGAGGACTTTGTCATCTGGGGGTTGTTTCGTTTCCATTCTGGGCAGACATTTCAGGGGGCTGTCTTGAACATAGTTATCTAGGCTGACAGCTGACTGATTTCCAGTGCAGGGTGCCCTGTGCATTATGGTGATGGCTAACCAGCCAGGCAGGGTGGCACACACCTGTAATTTTGGCATTCTGGGAGGCTGACACAGGAATATCACAAGTCAGCCCAGCCTGGGTTCGATCCTCATTCACACACACACACACACACACACACACATGTGCACATGCACACACAGATGGATGGTCTACACCATCCCTGACACCGAGTGTAATTTTTGAACAGCCACACAGGTTCTTGTTTAAATATATATATATATACCCATAAATCTCCTCAGAGGCAAGAGAAAGATCAAAGGTAACTCTAAGAGCAGAACAGGATGTCTTCCTAATCTAAACTTGCTTGTTAGCCCACCTGAACCTTGCTCTTCCAAAGAAATGTAACCGCCTTGTTCCTGTTCTGCAGTGTACCGGGAGCCCCACCCCCCCTCTGCATTGTGAGACCAGCAGCTGTTTGCGATTTTACGGGATAAAAACTCCGCCCTTTAGCTGTTAGTCACACAGTCTTCCATACTGACTCCTGGAGGCTGCATCACCAGGCCTGTGCTTTAATAAATAATTTTTTTCTTTCCAAATTATTTTCTCTGGCTCCTTCATACCTCGGCAAGTGGACCACCACATTTGGTGGGCTCATCCGAGATGGATTAACAGCCCACCGACTCAATTCCTGAGGACTGATTCGCTCAGAGTAAGTACTGGGGGCTCCTGTTTGATTTAAAGTGGTACCACAAAGTCTTAATTCTGTTTAGGAGAGAACACCCTCATCCTTGGGAGGTCGGATCCTTGCTGGGAATCCTAGATCATTTGTTTTGGAGTCTCTTGACTCATTTGGGTGTTGGACCCCAGCAGGGCTGCCCTCCAATTTGATATTGGAATTTGAAGGGAAGCCTCCAGGCTAAAATTCATTTATTTTGTCAGAGAAAGGTTGTTTTAATTTTTACCAGTACTGGTGGTTTTGTTTTTGTTTTGTGTCTTTGTGTAGTCCTGTCTTGTCTCGTGTCTTTTCTTCTAACTTTTCCCTTCCAGGACACTTGGGCCTGAGAGATCACATGTGCCCTTGGACCAACTGCCATCCCTTTGGTGGTTCTGAGGGTGCCAAAAATTTTCTTTTAAACCACAGGCGACCCTCGGACCAGATAAAGAAAATCCTAGGTTTTGTGATTCTCTCCATATTGATCTGTCTCTTGTATTTGCTAATCTTTTCTCTTGATTTCCTCCTTTCACAGAGAACCATGGCAAGCAACAATGGGTCAGTCTGGTGCAAAAACTGCTCCCACGGTTCTTAGTCTTGTCTTGGATCACTTTAAAGAATTTAAGAGGTGGGCTGGGGGTTATGGGGAGCCTGTTTTCAAAGGAAGACTAATGATCTTTGCTTGTCAGGAGTGGCCTTTAGGGACAAATGGCATCTGGCCCCTGACCAGATCCTTTAACATGGGCGCTGCCCAGGCTGTCCGCCAGTATGTGTTTGGGCCCCCTTCTCACCCAGACCAAATTGTTTATGTGCAGATTTGGATAGATCTCATCTATGATTCTCCACCATGGATTCATCATTCCCTGCGGGCGGAGGAGGTAGCAACAATGAAAACAAAACCAAAATCGCCTGGGCCCCACTCCCAACACTCCATGCCAGTTTTATCATCAGCGGAGGACTCCCTGGAAGATGTCCTCCTCCCTCCTCCATATTCCCCTCCTAGAGACCACTCCCCCGACACCTCCCCCCACCCTCCCAGTCTGATCTGGACCTGAAGCAGACCACGGCCAAATTCTCCTGACTCCACCATGACGGCGTCAGCACTCTTCACTCTTCGGGAGGTTCCTGATCCCTGGGAACCAGGGGACTTGATTTTTGTCTATACTCCCTTTGCCACTTCTGACCTGTATAATTAGAAGGGCCAAACCCCCCATTTTTCAAGGATCCTGAAAACCTTATTAGTCTAATTGAATCTATTTTTCCACCTATCTTCACACCTGGGATGACTGTCAGCAGATTTTAAGAGTTCTCTTCACCTCTGAAGAACGAACTCATATCCGCGCTCTAGGGCGAAAAGGTGCCTTGGACCTGGATGGGACCCCCATGGCTGATCCAGAATGACTAGAGCACTCCTTTCCTTTATCTGGCCCTGACTGGAACCCCCTGGAGGTAGGGAGGCTATGCCCCAATATCGCCAGTGTTTCTAGTGGCATCTGCGGAGCACTTAAGAAGCCCACAAATCTGTCCAAGTTGTCAGAGGTAAGGCAATTGGCTGATGAGGCCCTTCTGCATTCCTGGAGCACCTCCTAGAGGCCTGTAGGCTCTATACTCCAATTGATCCGGTCACGTGAGAATGCAAGGGCTATTAATATTGCCTACGTATCTCAGTCAGCCACTATTAGATAAAAATTACAGAAACTGGAGGGATTTGAGGGGATGCCCCTAAGTCAGTTAATAGAGATAGCACATAGGTTGTTTAACAATAGAGAGAGCTGGCAAGAGGCAAACAATAAGAAGGTTATAAAGGTATTAGAGCTGTGTGCGAAAAGGAAGCTAAGCAGAAACAAAAAGAAAAGACAGATGAGAAAGATAAAAAGCGACCCCCACTCGAAAAGAACCAATGCGCCTATTGTAAAGAAATAGGGCATGGGTGAAAGGACTGCCCCAAGTTAAAGGCAAAAATGGAAAGGGATGCAAAGCCTTTGTTGAGCCATCAATGAGGGCATCAGGGCTCAGATGTCCCCCCCAGCCCCAGATAACCTTGCAAGTCAGGGAAAAACTGGTAAATTTCCTTGTGGACACGGGTGCAACTTATTCTGTTCTAACTCAACCGTTGGGAACTCTGACTGATAACAAAGTAAGCGTGGTCGGAGCCACCTGAGGGCGAAAATCATACCTGAAGGTGGTGGCCCAGTTAACTCACCCTGGGCAAAAAACCACTATGCATGAATTTCTGTAGGTTCCAGAATGCCCCAATCCACTGCTAGGAAGAGACCTTCTTCATACATTAAAAGTCCAATTGACTTTTCAGGTGGAGACCCCGCAACTGATTCTGGGAACAAAACCTGGGGAAAAAATCAAAGTAATTCCCTCCCTCCCTCTCCTGCTGGGAGATGATCCCACTCCAGAGACTGATAGAGATCTCCTGCAGGCTTGGCAAGTGGAGATACCAGGAGTCTGGGCTGAAAATAACCCCCTGGTCTGGCGATATATCAAGTTTTTCTGGTAATAGAGTTGATGCGGCAGGTGTCTGCCATCCACCTTAGACAATATCCAATAAGTTTACAGGACCATCAAGGACTGAAAAACATATAACTAGATTAAAATATAGTAAGATTCTTGTACCTTGCATCTCTCCCTGGAATACACCATTGCTCCCAGTCCAGAAGCTGGGGACCCAAGATTACAGGCCAGTGCAAGACCTCCAGGAAGTCAACAGGTGAGTGGTTACTCTGCATCCTACTGTTCCTAATCCCTAAACCCTGCTGAGCCTGTTGAGCCCAGAGTACATCTGGTACTCGGTCTTGGACCTAAAAGATGCTTTCTTTACCCTCCCGGTGGCTCTGGTAAGTCAGCCCATTTTTGCTTTTGAATGGACTGATTCAGGGACTGGAGTAAACTGAGCAGTTGACTTGGACACGTTTACCACAAGGTTTTAAAAATGCTCCCACTTTATTTGATGAGGCTTTAGGTAGGGACCTGTTGGGGTATCGAGAAGATCACCCAGAGGTCATACTTTTGCAACATGTTGATGACTTATTAGTGGCTGCTAAAACCTTTGAGGATTTCAAGGAAGCAACCAAGACCCTGTTAGTAACCGTAAGTGATTTGGGCTACAAGGTTTCAGCAAAAAAGACATAGATATGTCAGCAGACAATGACTTACCTGGGATATCAGTTACAAGGCAGAAAAAGGACCATTTCAAATAAAAGGGTTCAAGCCATCCTACAGATACCGGCACCAGAAACCAAAAAGCAAGTCCGTGAGTTTCTTGGTGCAGTTGGATATTGTAGGCTCTGGATATTAAATTTTGCTGAGATAGCCCAGTCACTATATGACTCTTTAAAAGGGCAAACCCAGGGCCCACTGGAATGGACAGACATGCAAGAGACAGATTTCCAACAATTGAGACAGGTCATAGCAGATGCTCCCACACTAGGACTCCCTAACATAAACATTCTTGTATGTGGATGAGCTGAGTGGGATTGCAAAGGGAGTAATAACCCAGGAACTGGGGCCCTGGCAGAGACCAATAGCCTATCTCTCTAAGAGGCTGGACATAGTGGCCGCCAGTTGGCCACCATGCTTAAGGATCATTGCTGCAGTGGCTCTGTCGATAAAGGAAACTAAAAAGCTCACCTTTGGCCAGAAGGTCACTGTGATAACCTCTCACTCCCTTGAGACTCTTAACTGGGCCCCTCCAGATGAGTGGCTGTCGAATGCAAGGATAATGCATTACCAAGCTCTGCTTTTAGATGCTGACTCTGTTTTCAAGTCCTCAGGGGCCCTGAATCCAGCCACACTGCTGCCCAGTGACGATCTGTCAGCTCCATACCATGAATGCGCCACCTTGATTTCAGCTACCAGAGCCTTTGATCCAACCTGACCAACAAACCTCTAGAAGGGGAGCCATCATTCTTCTCAGACAGTAGCAGCTACAGGTACCAAGGTAATGAGTTGCAAGGGCAGCTATGACCTCTGGAACCCAAATTTTGTGGGCACAGAGGCTGGATTCTGACACTTCTAACTCAGCAAGCTGAACCAGATTAACATCTATACCAATAGCAGATATGCTTTTGCTACCGCCCATTTACATGGGACAGTTTATCAGGAGAGAGGACTATTGACCTCAGCAGGAGATATAATTAAAAAGACTCCCCAAATATTAGACCTGCTGACAGCAATTTGGTTACCTGAGAAAGTGGCCATCATACATTGCAAGGCCCACCAAAAAGGAGATGATCCCGTTACCTGGGGAAACAATTTGGCTGATATTTCAGCCAAAGAAGTGGCCATAAAACCAGTGGGGTCTGAAGAAGGGGACATAGAGGAAACCACTCCTACTCTCTTGCTGATGCCTCCAACGTTATCAGAACCTGTGTATACACAAAAGGACCTCCACTAGGCCGCCCAATGCCAGGCAAAGCCTGACATTCCAGGAGGCTGGTATCAGTTACCACATAAGAGAATCTTGCTGCCCAAAGTCCTCGGACAGGAGCTCATTCTGCAAGCTCATCAGTCCACTCATTTGGGAGGATCAAAACTATCTGAGCTCTTTCGGGACTGCTTCTTTATACCCCAGCTGTCCAAATTGACAGTGGCTGCCAGTTCAAGATGTCCTCAATGTCAGTTAGTTAACCCAAAATGACAGCTCCACATGGAAACTACTTGGGGAACTTCCCCAAGAGAACACTGGGAAAGAGACTTTACTGAAATGAAGAAGCCAGGTCTCCAGGGACACAAATACCTGCTATTGATGGTCGACACCTTCACTGGGTGGGTGGAGGCATTTCCCACCAGGTCAGAATCAGCTCTCACAGGGGTTAAAAACTTGTTATATGAGATCATTCCTCGTTTCAGCCTACCCTTATCTATGGGGTCTGA